CACCCACCGTGTAGTTTCAACCAGGATATTGTCATTCGTCGAACGTAATCTATTCGCAAAAGAGAGAGAGAGAGAGAGAGAGAGAGAGCAAGAACGTGTTACTAATTCAACTTCTATGTCCCTTCCTCTTGCTTCTTATCGATTCGGACTTGCTCGAAAATTAAGAAGAAGAGGATAAAAAGGAAAAGAAAGAAAGAAAGAAAGAAAGAAAGAAAGAAAATTGCACAGCATTAGAATATAGTCCAGATTATATTTATCGAACGAACTAATTGGTTTTCAGATAAAAAGACCAGCCGTTTGTCCGGATAGTAAATTGGAGACAGGGCACTTGTCGTTTTTGAAATTTATATTATTCGACAGTCGAAAAGCCATTTGCTTTGTTAATTTATTAACCATGCTACGGTATAGATAATGGTTTACTGACTGGTTAATGTCGATATACTCTCGTGACAAGTTTTCTCAACGATTCGTGCCGACTACTAACATCTATAACGAAACGTCATCTATTTCATTTCTTTTTTTCTTCGTTCAAAATATATTCTTTCTTTTTTTTTCTCAAAACACGACGTTTTTATGTTGCGTAAAATAAACTAACTCGATAATCTACACATAAATACATATTTATTTATTTATTTATTTATTTATTTATTTATTTATTTATTTATTTATTTATTTCGACCTATCACTCCTTAGAATTTCAATTGAAAACGATATCGATCGGTATAACGCGAAATAGTTTGGTCGAACATTACGTTAAAAGCATGATCCGTCGATAACGTAATCGAATTACCTCGATCCAACTAAAATCGAATTTCATTTTGTATTAACATTAACGTTATAATTAATGAGCCGCGTTATAGAAAATTCAAAAGGTATGACTTACTTCTCTTTACTTTAGATTAATCGACGTTTCGTTAAATAACAGAATAATAACAATGAATTCTATGACTATTCTATAACTCGAACAAAGCGATTATTATTATACTTGTCATCATCATCATCATCATCATCATCATCATCATCAACATCATCATCATCATCATCGTCATCATCATTATTTTACTATTATTATTATTATTATTATTATTATTACTATTAATAATTCTATGTACGATCATTATTAATCCGGCGCCAATGACGATTGATAAGTTCCGTCATTTCTCACAACTTTAAAGCGAGATATCGCGGAATCATTAATTATTCGGTCAGATCAAATGAATGGCAAAGGAAAGGCGCAATGTGTTATCCGTTTCATAAGAGAAAGAGAGAGAGAGAAAGAGAGAAAGAGACAGATAGACAGAAAGAAAAAGAGATAGAGAAAGAGAGAGAGAGAGAGAAGGAGAGAGAGAGAGAGAGAAAACGGCGGTGTCTCGGCAAACAACGTAAAAACTTCACGATCGATCGAGGAGAGGTCACGTGTGTCACGAATTATCGGTAACGGTGGCGATAAACGGTACGGATCGTCGAGAATATTGTGTTACCGATCGTTCGAACGAATATATATATAGCGAATTTCAACATCGATATTCTTATAGGAGCACTCGACGAGACACGGTGAAACACTGTGATACTCGATAGCATCGCACACGTTCACCGATCGTAACCGACGTATCGTCGAAGGTAGTAATTGAATCGATCGTTTTGCAAATCACCGTCGCTCCTGCTGCAACGTAGGATCGAAGGATTACTTTGCCACGTCCTACGACATAGTAGGATCTTCGAACGGAACATCGAAATGTTCATCCTATCGAGTCTCTCGTACGGTGTAGTGATAGCGGATGGGGGTAGGGTGGGAGGAGGGGGAGGTTGGGGAAATGGATAGGGAGAATGCCGGTTACGGAATCTTATTACAAATCGTTCGAACTTCGTTCTGTCTGCAAAAAGATCTTTGTAATTTCTTCCTTCTTGAGATATCGAATTTAAACGGGAACGAAATAGATAGAATAGAGAGAGAGAGAGAGAGATAGAAAGAGATATTGTGGAACGTGCCTCTTCTAACGACCAGTTTGTTACGTTCATCGATCGGCAGATAGTGTAATACTTGAAAAAGAGAAAAAGAAAAAAGAAAAATAAAAAAGAAGAAAAAAGTTGTGCACGATTTATTATTCCACTCACGAACGGAGAACCAACAACGTTTTAATATTTTTGTTGTTTTTATTTTCTTTTTTATTCTTTTTTTTTTTTTTATGTGTGCGTGCGTGCGTTTCTTTTTTCTTTTTATTTTTTTTTATTTCTTTTTTGTTTTGTTTTCCTCTCCTCTCCCGTCCGTATTCTCTCTCTCTCTCTCTCTCTCTCTCTCTCTCTCTCTCTCTCTCTCTCTCTCTTTTTCAGAAAGGTAACACGTTCGAAGAGAGATCAGAGATCGAAACTTGGATTTCTATTTCCAGGTGGTGGGTGGTGGGTTGGGGGAAGGTGGGAGGCGTTCACTTTTCCAAACGTAACTCTGACAGTTGGCAGGAAATACGGACAGCAGTTATAGGGTTAAAACGCGCTCGTGAATTCAACACGATATGTATCTCGGGAATATTCCTAGACAGAGAGAACGGATGCAAGTTTAAAGCAAAGGCAGAGGGGGGTTTGTTGGTGGCGCTTGCGTTCTCTCCCACACGCACCTATACATACATACGTGTAGTATAATATATATATATATTTCGCATAAATCCTCGAAAACTTATTGCCACTGTAAACGGCCGACCAAAAGGGACGTGATCCCGTAGACGTAATTCTAGTAAGTGCACTCGAATGTTTGTAAATCTCGCATTCGCTACCACGACCGCATATGGAAGGATATTTTACGGTTATGCGTTTTCCGCGTTAGCCTTCGTAAGAAAACTCGACTAGCGCTCCAGCGGCTATTTATCCCTCTCGTAGACTTCGACCTAACGCTTTTGGTATACGAAGAAAAATCTTAGAAGACGACCCTCCACCACCAACCGTAATAGTAATAGTAGTAATAGTAGTAATAGTAGTAGTAGTAGTAGTAGTAGTAGTAGTAGTAGTAGTAGTAGTAGTAGTAGTAGTAGTAGTAGTAGTAATAGTAGTAGCACCAATGCTTGCTCGTACCAACATGCGTTCGCAAAATGTTTCTAGTTTATCGCCGACGTGACTCGCCTTTTATTTCCGCGCGGTTTGTTTCACCCTCCTTTCTGTCCTTTGAAATAATAAACAATAAAAGAAAAATAAAAACAAAAATAAATAAATAAATAAAAGGGAGAAAAAAAGGACGTAAAAAATGCAAGTAAAAAAAAAAAAAAAAAAGTAGAAGAAGATAAAAGAGAGAGAGAGAAAAAGAGGATACAAAAAAATCATCCGTCTGCCTTTAGGCGAATAGAGCCAATTCGATTTCGTTCATGAAAACGAGTCGGACTACATACGTCGTCGGTGCGAACGAACGCGTTTTCGTCACGGAAATTTGTTTTATAAATTTTTCTCGCCTCTATTTAAAAAGGAATGAATGTAGGAGGATGAACACGATATAAAAGTATTACCGTCCGTGTCATAGGGTCACGATGAAGATTAGTACCATTGGCCGAGTGCCAAGATAGGATAGTAGGAGGAGTATAAGTATAAATAGCTCGCGTCAAACGCGTTGTATGCGAGAGTTAAATAACTTCGCTTATTCCCTACGGAAGGAAGGAAAGAGGCGAGGGAAAAGTAAAGAAAAGAAAGAAGAAAGAAATAAAAAAAAGAATGAAAATAATGAGAAATCGAACGACAGCTCTGACCTTATCCGTCAGTACGTCAGGCATTTTTTTTTTTTAAACGGATAATGCGCACGCATGCCTGTGTGAAATAAAAAAAAAGAAATAAACAGAAAGAGAACGAAGAAATGAAATGAAAGAGAACGAAGAGGATAAAAAAAAAAAAAAAAAAAAAAAAAAAAATAATAAGAATGAAATAAAGGGAAGAAAAAAAGAAAAAGAAAGAGAAAAAGGAGAAAAAGAAAAAGAAGTACAATCGAGAGGAAGCAACAAGTAAAGATGGAGAAATGGTTCGTGTCGTTTCGCATTTATTTGACGACTCGATTTGAGCGCGGTAACGTGATACAGTCCGTCGGCGAGATACGAGATAACCAAGCTAAGTGTCGAAAATATTGGTAAGCGTGTATAACGCTCGATTAAAAAAAAATACAAAAATAAAAAAAAAAGAAAGAAAGAAAAAGGAAATTCCATAATTTCGAGATAATTAACATAACATATTATTTTTTTCATGTGAGAAAGAGAGAGAGAGAGAGAGAGAGAGAGAGGGCAGGAGAAAGAGAGAGAGAGAGAGAGAGAGAGAGAGAGAGAAGAGAAGATATTCATCGGCTAGATAAGTTTAGTACTTATTATACCTACACGAGAAACTCGTAAATCGTGTTGCGTAGTTTGTCTACGTTGACGTTTCTAAAAGATCGAAAAAGCACAGCGGGAGTTCTTTAGGGGGTTGCCAGTCGAACGTCTATCTTCTCCTAATTTTGTTCCACGAGAAAAGCAGAAGAACAAGATAGACAGATAGATAGATAGATAGAGAGAGAGAGAGAGAGAGAGAGAGAGAGAGAGAGAGAGTGGGAGAGAGAGGGAGCTATTGAGATTGTGCATTCGGTCGAACGATTTGAAAATATTTTCGTCCTAGCATCGCTAATAGAGAAAGGTCTTCATTTTGACTTAAATTTGGATTATAATATATTTTTTTCCTTTTTTTTTTTTTTTTTTTTTTTTTTTTTTATTACTTCTACGTCGTAATAAATAATCATCTCTATCTATTCGATCCATTAGAGGACGATACGTCTCTCAGATGATAATAATACGGAAATTTTTCTTAAAGTATTACATTCGAGGTATACTCGACGTAGACATTTTCCTTTCGTCAAAAGAAAAGAAAAAAAAAAAAGTAAATAAATAAATAAATAAAGAAATGAATAAAAAGGAAAACGAAAAAGTCAAGATGAAAGAAAAAATGAGAAAAAGAAAGAGAGAAACTTTCTCCCATAAATACATCTACAGTGTGTTATCACTTACTCGTAAATTCGATCGACCGATCGTAGTTATCCATAAACGGGCTGGCACTTTAACCCCACCGCACTTACACTGTTATCATCCTAGCAGTTCGTTACACCGTGCTTGTCTTGTCAGCGTCGTGTTTCGACCTGTTTTCTTTTTTCTTTTCTTTCTTTTTTCAACGATATTTAACTTATCCTTGAAAAGAAAAACTAGATCGTATTCACCGACGGAAGGGGTAGTAGAGCGATCGAATAATAAAAGTAAAAGTAGAAAGTATAGACGAATTTTGAAGAAAAGAAAGTCGTGTCGTGTATGGAACACTAAAATATTTTTCACTTCGAAGGCACCGTTCAGTCCAAATACGTTTTTGCACGTATTTTGTTACGCACTCGATTTAATAGATTAAATAATGAAGAAACGAACGAAATAAAAAAAAATATCGTATCTCCTAATTGCATTTCGTTCACATATACATGTTAAAAAAAAAAAAAAGAAAAAAAGTTCGATTTTATTATACGATCATGGAAATGATTACGTATGAAAAATAAATCGTTTCGATCGGGCAAATTGTATATATATATATATATATATATATATATATATATATATATTATATATATATGTGTGTGTATATAATGATTTTAATAAATCGAATATCAACGCGTCGATGAGTTACGAGAGGATCAATCTTGAAAATGGAACGGACACGAAGAGCCCTAACAAACACGCGCGGCTCATGTCGGCCAACTGACTCGTAGCAGGAAAGACTCGGGGCCCTTCGGCTCTTGGGCGCCGGTGCTGGGCGGCCGTAACGGCGACGGCGGCTAACGGCGGCGGCAGTGGGTGCTAGTGGTGGTGGTGGTGGCTATGATGCTGGTAGGGGGGAGTTTATGGTGGGGAGAGCGTGCCAGAGTAGGTAGAATACATTCTGGTGGGGGAAATGAGACGTCGAGTATCTCTACCACGCGCCGGATGCTGCGGAGTAGCTCGCGAGCTCTCGCGCGAGTCACTTTGTATTTCTTTCGTGTTATTGGTTTTTTCATTTGGAACAAAAAATGAAAAAAAAATATATATAAAAGAAAAAGAAAACAAGGAAAAGAAAAAATAAAAACAAAACTTTTCGACTCGTCGTTCGTCAAGCTATCCTAATTTCAATTTCATTAAAATCAAATATCTGTCCTATTATTATTGTTTTTTTCTTTTTCTACTTTTGTTTTTCTTTTTTTTTATTCCTCAAACATGATTTCGGACGAAAACACGCGCACTCTTTCTTTCAGATATATATATATATATATATATATATATATATATATATATATATATATATATATGTATCTGCATATATGGGGTAGTATTGTTGTATAAAAAAAAAAGATGGAAGAAAGAGATATCAAAAAAAAAAAAGAAAAAAAAAAAGAAAACTTTTTTACAACTTATGGAGAATGTCAAACCATAGGTAAATTTCACGTGAACCAAAAAAATACATCGGCTCTCTCGAATTACCGAGCCAGGCCGAGAAGGGTCGATGATGTATTGCGTTCGATACGCCTGTCAAACGCTCCTGGTCAGAATCAGTGCGGTAGAATTATGAGAATACTTTGATAAAAAAAAAAAAAAAACAAAACAAAAAGAAAAAAAAAGCTTTTCGGGAATCGAAATCCATCGTTAAAAGTCATCGTCAAAAAACATAAAGTCGAACGTTTAAAGAGCAAAGTCGAGGATAGCTTTAGAAAAATGTAGAGAAAGGTATGGTTTGATCACCGTCAAAACCAATGTAAAGAAAGCTTCGAAAAACTTCCGAGAAAATAAAGAGATAGAAAGAGAAAGAGAGACAGTAAAAAAAGAAATTCGAAAAAAACTTAGCTCCTCGCATTCCGGTTTTTTCTTTTTCTTTCTTTTCTTTCTTTTTTTTTTTTTCCCCAAATCGAAAGAACGCAGCCGTTTCTCGGCATTTTAGTAGGTGTACAAATTTGTTTTTTCACCAAATAAATACGGTAGTCATTTATTTAGGAAACATCCCCCTTTCACCGTCTTCCCTTTTCCACGAAGGTAACTCTTATCATGCTACAAAACCCCTCAGGGCTAGTGTAGTACTTGTCGCAGCGTTAACGTCCGTTCGGATAAATAAATATTGACCGTCGAGTCCGGTACCGCAAACAAATCCATTAATAACAGGAATTTAATCCCATTGCGGAGCTTGCAACGTAGCGATCGGGAATGGTACACGTTGGAGCCATTCGGTTCGAACGTTTTCGGTGTCAATTTATGTCCATGAACGTGAACGGATACAGCGTTAGGTTAGAATAATTTAATAACGTTCGTTTCCATGCGTTACCCCCCACTATGGACAAGCCCGAACGTTACTCCCTTCTCTCTTATACCGACGCAATTAGCAAAACTATAATCAAATATGAGGGTGAAGTAGTGGGGGCAATGGGCGGTGGGGTAGAGTTGGCTGGTGCTTAATATCGCCGTTCAAATTTCGTGACGAGTCTCGTTAACGTGTTACGAAAGCAAACAGACGTGAAGGAAGAGAGTAGAAGCAGAAATCATCTCTCTCTCTCTCTTTCTCTCTCTTTTTCTCTTTGTTCATCATTTATCCTTTTTTTTCTTTTTTTCTTTTGGGATAGATAGACCCGAGGAGAGTTGGAAAGATCCGAAGAAAAAGGGGGTGGAAAATGAACGTTACGTTTATGCGATCGGGAATAAGCCGCAAATTCATTATCGTGAAAAGATAATTAAACAACGGGTATAACCGTACCGTCGTAATTACTAATTAAGAATGGTTAATATTTCATTACTTTCATTACTATCGTTTATTTTGTTACGAAAAATTAAAAAAAAAAAGAGCTAATTTTGTATTCGATATTATTATTTATCTTATGTTAGAATTATTTCTTTCTAATTTTTCGCAATTAACAATTCGTTATTATCATAATTTTCATAAATTCGATTTGTAATCTTTTTTTTTTTTTACGGACAAATATCGGGATACGTGAAAATATCCTTTTTCGTCCGATGACAATTTTGAATTTCAAATTCGATATTTTCGAACGCGTTACTTCGAATTTTATTGTCGTTGTTCATTGCATCGGAAAGCTCCCGCTTTGTAAGTTTCTTTCGAAGGATGCTGGTAGAAAAATTTTGGTCAATGGAGAACATGTGGACCGTGCTTGTTTCTTTTGTGCTCGTTTAGAGGCCCTTCAGGTTCTTTCTTGTATCGATGAAGGGAGAAAGAAAGGGACACGCTCGTAACAAGCTTTAAATTCGTGTTCTCTTTCTGTTATCGAATATTCGAATCGTATTGCGTTTTGAAACCTATGAAACTCATTCGATAGCCCGATCATCAATTAGAATTGTTAGCTATTACAAGGCCATAGTTAGATAATTTGCATAAGGATGCTCGTATGAATTTTAAAGGTTCGCGAAATAAATTTCAAATATGCTAATACTTTCAATAATATACCGTTCTATGATTCTTAACCGGGAACGAGTTTGAAAACGTTCGAGAATCTTTAAATATTTATCAAGAAGAATTTACGTATTCTATTAAACACCGAAAGGGGCTTCTCTGAGAATCGCTTTGCAAAAAGTATAGATTATTCAGGATGTTTACCGATCTCATCTCGAACATTAACCACAGTGTATAGATCAAAATACGACGATATTTATTCATGGTTAACTTGGGGATAAGCTCGGTTACAGTTAGCGTATTTCGTAGCTCTAACAGAGCCACTAATCGATAAACAAGTATCCCTCGGAGCTAAACAATAACGGAGGGAGTTTAGGAAGTGAACGGAGTAGTTTGGTCATACCCTTCACCGAAGGCATTCTTTTTGCCCTATTCTCTTTTACTATATGGTGCCTCGTACTAGAATAGAGAAGATGATCTGCTCGTAATCCTATATAAACACGGTTATTTTTATCCCATTATAGGGCGGTTCCGTAACGGTCATCATCGTTCTCATGTCGTTGTCGTCGTTGTCGTCGTCGTCATCGTCGTCGTTGGCATAGTTTTCCTGTTCGTATAGCTTAGACCTTGCTGCATAATAGCACGTTCAGTGTGCACGCGGCTTTAAAGGTTGCCGACGAAAGGACAAGAATGACCGCAGGGTTCTTTCGAAGGGTGCACCACTGCCACACCCCCTCCAGTCTGGTATCTACGAAGCTGCTTTAACAGCAGGGGGGTGCTCGAACGACGTCCATGATAGCGTTCCATTTTCCTCGGTCGTTCCTTGCCAACAGATTCTCTAAACCCTTCGGAGATACTTACACTCGTAACATTCCTCAAAGTCCTACGTTTTTCACGATCATCCTCGAAAGAAAATCGTCGACACTCGGTCGAGAAGGCAACGAGAGAACAAAGACTCCTATCCTGACCGAGCCTCAAAGATTTATTATATAACTCGTGTCCTTTCCCTCGTAACTAAGGGACACTCATGGTCGTTTTTTGATTTCCCAAAGAGAAAAAAAGGGTAGCCTGAATAGTTTCACTCACGTCACGCACGAAAATCACAAGGGTTGTTACAGGTGAATCTTCTTGTTTTCTTTTTTCTTTCCTTTTTTCTTTTCTTTTTTTCTTTGATCTCTTCTTGCCTCGCGTAATCCTATACCTTTTATTCATGCGATTTACTCGTTTGTTTACACGCACCATGAACATGTTTTCTCGAAACAATAATTTCCCTTTCTTATATTTTATTATCGTATTTGTATGGATAAGCTTGTACCTTGTTGGTTTATCTACTCTTAGGTATATTATCGGAACAAAGACGTTTGATGGCCGATGGCGCCGAAGAAACAGCAAGGGATCTACAAATTCGAAAATAATGCGGGTTCTGGTCAAGGAAAAAAGGATGGTTGAAATTGGACGTTCGGTTAGCTGGCTAGCTGGTTGGTTGGCTGGTTGGTTAGTTGGCTGGTTGGTTAGTTGGCTGGTTGGTTGGTTGGTTGGTCGGTTGGTTGACTGACTGACTGACTGGTTGGTTGGCTGTCTGGAACACGTGTCGCCCACTCCTTTTCGAAAGTGTATCTCAGTCGCACGTGACGCGTTCACAGATTCGTCGTTTCTCATTTTTGAATCCTGTCTGCCTTCTTACAACGATCTACGACATGCGGCATCACGTAGTATCGCAGAAAACACGCGGTTTACGAGTCGCACGTGCCGGAAACGGAACTGACTCTTTATCGTTCAAAAAAAGGATACTGTGTGAACGAACATTAATTGTCTATACGGAGAAATGAGAAATAAAAGGAGGAATAAGAAAGAAAAAGAAAAAAAAGAAAAAAAAAAAAGAAAAAAAGAAAAAGAAAATAAATAATAAGATGGAAAAGGAAAAATTTCAACGATCCATCGATATTGGTCCTCCATTGTTGTTGTGAAATTCAACGTAGAGTAAAAACCATCTCGTTTCATTCGAATGTTTTTTCTTGAACCCCTCGTCCTCGCCCTCGTCTACCTCCCACCCTTCCTTACCCCTCTCGTTTTCGCTCCCGTGAGTTGCTTTCCTT